ATGTGGCCTATGGATAAGGCTCTTACCACACACATAAAAGTCAATGAAACTCAGGATGAATCCTAAAGGCCCTGAATATCTGATGAGCGAGGCAGTTATGAACTCAGCTAGCAATGTGGGGCACTTCACTGTTACCCATGTGAGTGTCAGAGGAATAAGGACAATTAATGCCCATTTCCAAAGCTCATTCACATCCCCCAGCACGCTAGTCAATGTTGGCTAAAAACAAACACAGGCCAGCTAAATAGCTGCTCTTAGTAATTTCGTTATAAAAGCATTGTCTACAATGAACTAGCATTCACCAAGTGTCTAGTAACAAAAGATAAAAAAAACTCTACTAAATTTTTAATTCTGATACAAACCAAATTAAGTTATCTAACACCCAGTTCTACAAATGCTCAAATAATACAGGAGGACCTCTTTCCTCCTTCTGAGGATGGGGTAGAAAAAAATAACTAGAGAAATGAAGAACAAATTCAGACCTGACACAATGAAATTTGGTTTTAAAGGAAGACATTGGAGGCTGGACGGAGGCAATCCACAGGCTTCCCTGGCTGGGAAATGTCCTCCTTGGGAGCAACTCCGGGCAGAGCTATACCTCTCAACGATTACCTCCTTCTGGAATGAACTTAGAAATGCCACCACCCAAATTGTAGATAAAATTTTGCAGCCCACAAAGTCTGAATCAAATCTGGCTGCAATCAACACTTCTGAATAGTTAACCAGAACAATACCATTTTTCCGAATAACTAACTTACACAGTCACCACTCGGTGGGGTGGGATCAACTGTCTTCTTATCAACGAAAATACATATGTCTCACTGAGCACATTACAGTACCCGACAACATGTCTAACTGAGTGCAGCCTCCTTCTGTTGAATTTGCTCAAGATCAACATGAGATAGAAAAGAAGCACCTGGCCTGAATAGCCTAAGGCTTTAGTTTCTAAGACCCACACCCCCTGGAGAAGTTAAGGCAGCAGGGTCAAAATTTCAAGAGTAGCCAAAGTAATTTAATAACATTCTATCAAACAAAAACAAAGAAAACATGAGATTTCAAATTCTAAATTTAATGAATTAATAGTTCAATGGCAGAGTGCTTGTCTATCACTCCTAAGGGTCTAGCTTCAACTACCAGTGCTAACCATGACGATAAAAATATAATGCTTTACATGTATGAAATTATTTATACATTCTAAAAATTAGAAAAAATACAATTACCCAAATTTTAAGGATGAAATGTGGAAAATATTAGCTGCGTGACTAAAAAAAGCAAAACAAATTCTTATCTGAATAATTGATCTGATCCCCAAACCAGTAGTTAGCCTTAGGAAATTTTGTAAAAATCTAAGTAATTGGTTGTTGTTTATACTGACTGTTTCTTTAAGTAGCTCTGTTAAGGGAATAAACATCACTTTAGTTTTCATTTCTTTTAAAAATTTTGTTCAAATAATAGCATGATGTATTTGCTTTGCGCCTTTACAACCTACAATTGTTAAAAATTTAATGTATTAGTGACTCACAAGGGTAAAAAAGTAATGTCTGCATTATGGATGTTGGTCTGTAGGAATTAGCAGTTGAGAAAGGAAAGGGCATATTCTCTTACAGGAATTTAACAAAAACCATCAAGCATCTTTTCTATTCTGCCAATGGTATACTTCTCAAGCATTTTTTAAAAAATATCTATTTCCCTGTGTTCTATTCACACCAAAACCATTTGATCTTGAACCTGTAAGAACCTTTTCCGATGTCAAAAACAGTTACCAAACCTTCTGCTAAAAATGCATTTCAGTCAGTTCACTTTTCAGTAGGCTTAGAATTAGAATTTTATTTAAATTTAAAGAGAGGTCAGAAATATAATGCTATTTGAAATTAACAAAGTCCTCTGGCTAAGGGAGAGACATCTCCAAGTAGTTTCCAGACAGAAGAGACAGTCTGCACTCTGCTGTCTGTAATTTTCATCATGCTTTAAGTAGGGCAAATAATCTGCTTTTTAATAATTGCTGGTATTTACATAAAGTGAATGCCTTTCCCAACACTAACCAAGAAAGCAGCTTTGGTTATTTGAAATAGAATGTGAACATCAATTAAATAGACAAGGAGTTCAAGGTGAAAAATAATCGTCCAAGTATGATATGCTAATGATTTCCTCCTATATAGGCCTTCTTACTCCCAAAATGACACAAGAACCTTGTGTCATCCATTGAATGCTTAAAAGAATCCAATCCTGGAAACAGGGAGAGATTATACTTTAAAATCCCAATCTCTGAGATTGTAGTCTTATGACATCTCAGACCTAAGATGTATAGAGCTAGGTGAGATTCAAAATGCATCTCCACTTCAGATGTTTTCCTGCCAATTATCTTCTATCCATTTTCTTGGTTACAGATTGATAGGATTCTTAATGAACTTCATTACCAGTCATGTAACTAACTATTAGCATGATGTGCAGGGAATAACCAAGAGATAGCAGGTATTCGGTTTCCAAATGAACCAGCCGTGGAGCCTGGGCACCGAACACTCTTGACTCAGGACTATGCACCTACATCACAAATAACAAGGGCAAGCACCAGCCTTTCCAAGTGTTACTCAACCTCCAGATCATATTTTCTCTCTCCAGATCATGGTTTGGAGATCACATCAGCTAGATGGCTACACCAATTAGCAGGTCTCCAGTAGTGTTCCAAAACCAATATCCATCCTTACTGTGGCTGCTTAAGTGACTTCTGTTGCTTTTTCTGTCTTACAAGCTCTTGCTGCTTCTCATACTTCCATGCCCTGCTCAGTCTAAGCCTAGATATTTTTGTTTGAGTTTATTTTTATTTAAGATTCGTCTGTGTACACAGGTCTTTGACATGTGAGAATGTGGGATGGAAGGATTTAATTAACTTAGGGATGCAGATTTCTCATCAGTACCAGCTCTCAGTAGGACTGAACTTGAAAACCTTTGGGCCACTTCATTTTAAAAACGCATTCAAAATCCTAAAGTAAAATCAGAATAGCAAGACAACAGAAGAAAATAAAAGGTAGTTACTGGATCTTATTGACCATTCTTTTAAAAATCTAAAGTATTCTGACACCCCGTGGGTGGGAGAGTCAACTGTCAAAATGAAGGCATTTCAGAGGAGATATGCTGCAATATGCTACTATGATTAATAGGCATATAATCTGAGGTATTTTGTAACAACAAGAAAATGAACTGAGCTGATAGATTGTTACTACTTTTCCTAAACCAAAAGGCTGTAATCTGTCCTAGTTACACAGAGGGAGGGGTGACGATTATTTTCACCAAGTATTACAACCTAATTACACCCATATTTATTACACTTACATTTAAAGGTATACACATGATGAGAATGGACTATCATCTTATACTATACATCTCTAAAACCCGAACCCACTGCAGTATACTAAAGGGTATCATTTTACAGCCACTCTCTACAACAGAGGAGAGCTTCTCCACACAGCTTCCCTTTTACTTCTGTTTAAAAAGACGAACAAACGTTCCCGGACACAGATGAGAGAATAAGGAGCAGCGATGAAGTACACCATATGTCCCTCTGGTAGGCTGAATCCAGGTCTTTGTTTCAATACTCCAGCGCCAGCAGGAAGGAACGCTAAATCACCCACTATTTAAATTTATTCCCCCATTATTGCGGTAAAAGTTATACTTGCGATAGGTTCAGCCCGAACCCATCCTATCTTATTATTTGCTTGTTTAATCCAGATTTTTTTGCAATCCCAGGAACCTGCAATACACAATCGCCCTGGAAAACAGGTCCGAAGCAGAGCAATCTGGTAAACCAACACAAGCGGCAGGCACCGAGGGGAACAAAGTTGTTTTCCTAGCGAAACAGTTCCGAAGTGATTCTGTATCAATGACAATTTTGCTTTTTATCAGCTGCGCACCTATCTAGACACCGTCCACCTGCTTCTCAATGAAGGGCTGTCTTCAATCTTGGGATCTCCCAGACCAGTTTTAATGGTGCAACTCAAAACAAAACCACTAACCGCGCCCTTACACCTCAGAAGGAGTTACCTTTTGCCTCCCCCCACCCCTTACTATGGTCCAAAATTGCACATCTTTCCCCAGAAAGGGTTTTTGCAACGCAATCCCTAAGCCAACACGACTCTGTTGCGGCTCTGCCCTGGCGTTCCTATTGTCAGACGCCGTTCTTGCCCCGGCGGTGTGCAAGGGGCACCCAGCTTACCTCCCGCACACCCGCAAGCCCGGGCTGGGGATGCTGGAGAGGATGCTCGGCGGCGGGCTGTGATCGCTCGCTCGGGATGCGGCTCCTGCCTCTCTCCGGGGAAACTACCGGGCAGGCTGAGCCCAGGCTTCCCACTGAGACTCCAGCTCCGCCTTCCCCTCCTCTAGTTGGCCGGACCTCGGGCTCCGGCTCCTCCCTCCGCCGTTTGCGCAGCCCGGGCTGCAGGCGGCGCGAAGCGGCACCGAAGCGAGCGGCTCTCGGCTCCTGGTCCTCCGCCCCCCGCCCCTCCCGCGTCGCACCTGGGGTCAGGTGCAGCCCTCTCAGCGCGCCGGCCCAGGGAACACCAGAGTGGGTTGTCCTGGGAGCCTCAGCCCGGGCGGCGCGCACCCCTCACCCTCCCTCCCGCACTCCTCCGGTCCCCAGCCGCCTCCTGGCCGCCGCCTCCCTGGACTCCCAGCCCCGCCGCCGGGGGCTCGTCCCCCGCCCTTTCCCGTCCACTCCTCCGCGAGCCCCGCCCACCGGTGGGCGCGGCGTCTGGGGGCCGGCCCTGCACGCTGATTGGTGCAGGTGAGCGCCGGCCCCGCCCTCGCCCCGTTTCTGGGCGCTCTGGCTCTCGGCGTCTCCCTTCCTCCCGTGAAGGCAGGGAACTCTTTTCTTATTGGCTCCGAGTGTCCCCACCCATCGCCCTGGGCGTCCTCGCGGGTCCTTCTGGGAAGTGTGGTCCAAGGTCTGCAGGAAGTGCCGACGGAAACCGGGGGGATGAACTACGAATCCCCGTCGGGCCTTGCGCGGCTCCGGCTGGGCAGGATTCCGGACAACGCCTGGTTCCTCTCGGGTCCTTCCGGCGTCGCCGGAGTGAATTGATCCGGGAGTTGAAGAGGGCTCCGAAGGTGGGAAGCCGAGTCCGGTGCCTCCGTTGCCGGTAAGGCGGGGGGCTTCTCGCTTGGCGTCCCCGCGGCTCCGCGGGCGGCCAGCGCGGCCGGGGGTCAGGCGGGGGCCGAGGCGGAGGCGCCGGGGCTGCGCTCGGGCCGGCGGGCGGGCGGGGAGCGGGGCCCGCTGGGCGTCAGCGAGGTCTCCCGGCGAGGTGCGGAGAGCGGGTTCGTGAACGCCCCGCCGGCGCCTCCAGGAAGTTCGCTGTGGCTGCGGGCGGAGGGGGAGGGCTGAGGCCGGCCTCCCGGGTCCCCGCCGGCCGAGGGGGCGGATGTGCCGGGGTGGGGTCCCCGGCAGGTGAGGCTGCCGCCGGGTGAGGCCTGGAGGGCGCGGAGTCGGCCCCCGGGGTGCCCGGGGCTGCGCCCTTCGGGGAGAGGGGAGAGCCGGCGGCGTTGACAGCTGCGACTCAGTTCCAGCGTCCTGTGTGTGGCCTCTCCGAGGAGCCGCGTCTCTGAACTGGGAGGGTTTGTCCCTCTCGGCTCCTCTGACACCACTGCCCGGGCGGCTTTCCTTGGGGACGGCACTCACCAGCGCTTTCGCTTTGGGATGCTCCCGAGAAAACCGAAGGAACAAGTGACGTGTCCAAGGTCACGCAGATCTTCCGAATGCAGCGCGCTGAAAGTCCGGGTTCCGACCGGAGTTGTCTGCTCAGTAGGAAGAAAAAGTGGGGAGGTGCTAGGGAGGGCTCGAAGCGGATAAAACAAGTTGCCGAGTAGTAGCGAGTGTTTCTCACTACTATTTGGGAGGCGAAGAGTTGCATGGTTGGAGTGGAGTGAAATCCTTCCCAAAGCAATTGTCTGTCTAACGTTTTGCTAAAACAGGAAGGGTCGTTTTTTAGCTTAGATACTTACCCCCCATTCTGGGGCATACTTAATGATAACACTCAACTTCCACGCGCCAGAAGGATAGGTAATACATAGCAGTACACCCAGCGTTGTCATCAAGAGAATAGTCCTTTCCTATTTTCTGAAACTAAGATTAAAGTGAAACTTTGACAAAGCTTATTTTACACATTTTAATGTTTAAGTGATAACTTAATGAAGAATCATGGAGAAGTTATGACATGGTCATTACCTGAAGTGGCTTTTTTTTTCTGTCTGAGGTTTTTTCTTCTCCCTCTTTTTCTTCACTCCATGATAAAGTAGTAAAAACCAGGGCTTGTATGCTTTTTCTTGGCATCATCTGCGAAGTTTTAATTCATTCTTAATGTTAAGGAAAAAAAATGATGCCTCTGTATTGAGTAAGAAACAATGCATTTGTTTCAAACAAGTGACTAATTAGAACTGATAGATATTATTAGTTTTTAATAGAACTGTACTTTTTTATTGAAGATAAGATTCTTTTATGAGATTATACCCATAAACATGCGCATTTATAGTTAGTAGGCATACTATGTAAATTAAAATATTGAATACACATAATATATACTGTAAATAAATATATTGTATTTTGAGTGTGCTTTCTTTGCTATGATTACTATTAACAATTTATATGATTTTTTTTAATGCAAAACTTTTCTGGGATCAGAAGAATCGTTGTTCCTCTATCTTTCAAGTTAATATGGTCTTGTTTTACTATGACTTTTAAAGTAAACACAGAGGTATGGTACCATAGAATGAGACAAAAATCAGCAATATAACACCATGCATTTATATAGTACACAATAAGGAAGAAGCAACTAAACAAAAGGGAAATTATGTGGGGTTGGTTTTGAAGTAGATTAACATGGTGCCTTAGTTTGAGTGGGCCATATATAAGTCAATGCCTATAAAGCAAGAATGCCAATATATTTTTCTGGATGACTGTGGACATTTTCTGTTTGCTGGGAGAGGTATAAAATGAGTTTTAAGGTAGCTTTGTGGTTCTGGAGAGACTTTTCCCCCCTTTTTAAATTTAAATTAGAAACAATCTTATATATCAATCCCAGTTCCCTCTCCCTCCCATTTTCCTATCCCTCTTCTGCTCTATAGAAAGGGTGAGGTCTTCTATAGGGGGTCATCAAAGTCTGTCACATCATTTGGGGCAGGGCCTAGGCCCTTCTCCAATGTGTCTAGGCTGAGAGAGTATCCTCTATGGGGAATGGGCTCCCAGTGTTCATTCGTACACTAGGTATAAATGCTGGTCCATTACCGGGGGCCCCATAGACTGCCCAGGCCTCCTAACTGACACCCATGTTCAGGAGGCCTAGGTCCATCCTATGCTGGTTTTCCAGCTGTCAGTCTGGGGTCCATGTGCTCCCCATTTGTTCAAGTCAGCTGTTTCTGGGGGTTTCCCCAGCATGGTGTTGACCCCTTTGCTCACCTCTCCTCCCTCTCTGCAAAGGGACTCCAGGAGTTGGTCTCAGTGTTTAACTCTGTTTCCGTCAGCTGCTGGATGGCATGTAAGGTAGTCATCAATCTCATTATAGGGGAAGGGCATTTAAAGGCAGCCTCCTGGAGAGACTTTTTTAACAAAAAGGAAAAAATTAGTTCTTGTCTACACTAAATGTCTGTATCTCTGAGGTCCATTTTAATTGTAGTGTTTCATCACTACAATTGTATTGCTGAGATTAATGATGTTACTGCTGTATTTAAAAATCCTTCAGTGGCTAGCTAAAATTCACAGTGGCTTCTTTTACCTGTAGTGTTCAGCTCTCAGTGCCCACATTTGTTTTCTGAAGTAGCTTTGCGTCAACTTTCAGACCCTGTTCTTTGTAGGCCTTTGGAAGTCTTTATATAACCACCTCTCACCTAAAGGATAGTCTGTAAGAACAAGAGCTGTATATTAGTTACATTTATAGCCTCGACTGGTAGAATAATTGAGTGGCTCCAGAGAGTGGAAAAGGCTTGGGTTGCTTTAATGACTTGCCCAAGGTCATATGACCTATAGCAGAACAAGTTATATTCCAGATCTTTTGACTATAGACATTATGTTCAAAACTGTGATTATTTTTTTGTAAGAAAAAGACAGACCATTACAGATGTTTAGATATCATGATCCTCTTACTCTGTTTAATGCCACCAGTTTGTCGTCTGTTTCTTTCCCAAAGGGCTTCCACCTTCTCCTCAACTATTACTTTTCTAATATAAGAAACTTCCTGATTTTACAAATCCCACCCCTCCCTCTGTCCTATTTCATCTTCTCTTTCCCAGTGTGGTCGATCCCTGCAAATCCTGGCTTACTCTGAACCCTCCTTCCCCAAACCAGCATAAATTCCTGCTCTGTCTTCCCTATATTCTGAACTCTGTTGACACTGTCACAGTAGCAACTTATTATTTCTGTACTGATTTAATATTTTGTCATCCTACTAAAAGTTATCTGGGCAAGGCATTCTCATTTGTTAGACCTTAGCCTACCTCTTACACTATTTAGCAGAGAGTATTCAGTAGTTTGCAGAATGAATGAATGAATGAATGAATGAATGTATATGTTCAAGTATAGTGCCTCCAGTACTGTGCTAGGGACAGAAATATACAAATTAATGACGATACAGGAATTTTGAAATGAATATAGGGCAAATATAAAGAAGTTAATGCCAGAAGTTTAAAGTATAGAAAAGTTCTTTTTCTTGGAGATCTCTAAAGTTTAGATAAGTAACTTCATTGTGGAACTATAAAGGAGTTGTTTTCTTTTATAGCAGAATTTCTGTGTAACTCAGCATTTTAGAAAACTTGCCACTGCCTTGTATTTTTAAAACAAGCAAGATTCATTATAACAAAATATATATATGGAAGAAACTTTTAATGAGACCATTCTCCCCTTAATATTTTTTTCTTTTTTTTTTTTAATTTACACTTCAAAACAGTTATTTCACTTGCCTATGACTGAGGACACCAAAGAAAGTTTACACATTTAACTCAGAATACAATTAAATTGCTGAAGTCCTAGAAGGACTGGAGCCAAGGTTTGAGGCTAGACCTTTCTCTTTGCTTCCTGGGTTTTCTTTGGTTTTGGTTATAACCAGGATTTAATAGAACCTTCCTGAGAAAAGATGCTTTTGGGAAATTAACTTTCTAATTTCAGAGGGACTTATATTTTACCCTCCTTAAAAGTAGTATTTGAGGTTTGAGGTTTTTAAGATAATGTTTTATTGGCTTTGAATATGACACAAGATTAAAAGTGTTCTGAAAATTTGACAACATCTTAAGGATATAGCAGGCTAAATTTTTGTCTGGAAAACAAATTACATAATTTTCACATTACCACACTATTACAGTAAAATACATTCAACAGCTTTGAATTGCATAGCTTTTTACTCATTCATATATTCACCAGTACACTGCCCAAAAGAATACTTTCAAAAGTGACTGCTTTCAATTTTGATAATGTGCCAAATTTTATTACTGATGTGCCTTTTCTAAATTCTAAACTTGGTACTTTTAAAAAGTTAATTATAATGTTATTTGAATCATCAATAAAAACTTTATTTCACACATACAGTTTGCAGGAAATTAACCTAAGGTATTATATATGTTGTTAGAATGTTAGGGTTATTATGATAGGTATTGTTACTAAGAATTTTAAGCCATATATGTGAATTTTTCCTCTGAAACATGTAGAAGATGGTGTGATCTTATACTTTATTGCATTTGAAATATGTGTTTCAGATTTAGGGTAATAGGATATTTATACACATTCAAAAGTAGCACAAATGAAAGCACTTCTGTTAAGGCATTAGAAGTAATTTATTTGCTGAAATTTGGTTAATTTAATAGTTCAGTTTTATATAAACGTAAGAATTTCATTTAAGCTATACAACTTTGCTGGCCATCACATTATTAATATTATTTTTCAAGGACACATTTACATTTGGAGTATGAGAAGCCATTTTTTAAAACTGTACCAAAGTGATTTGAACCTATTTAATCTCGTTCTATAGTAACTTAGAATCTGGTGTTGCTTTAAGGATGGGGGCACAAAGAATTCTTATCATTGAGTCACACTTGAATTACTGGGTAAGCACTAGAAGTTAACTTCCCTTTCCTCAGTTAGAATGTCCCTTGGGAACAAGTT